TTAGACTGACTTGTCGTTGCTGTTGTATTCAACTCATCAGAAAGATTATCAAGTGTTGTTGATAGTTTCTTAATCAATCGTATATATTCTTCAGTTTCCAATGTAGTTAGGTCGTCAGTTGTTTTTTGGATTGAGTTAAGAAAAGTCCGGATTACTAGTTCTGATTCTGTTGGCATTGTTAAGAGGTAATGGCCGTTGGTTTGATTGGTTTGAATAATAGCCAATAGACGTACCCTAACTATTTGTTCGAACAGGGTAAATGTTGGACTTTAAATATCAGTAGTTTTTAATTAGTGATATTTCGAGAATATTACTCAATTAAGAGTTTTAAGAATATGCGCAATCGATGGACGAAGAAAAATCGATACGTACGTGCCAAAAAATGACAGTAAAAGATAGAATAGTGTAAGACTATTGAATAAACTTTCGGAGCAAATATGGAACACGTCTTATCGGTCAATGAAAATTATTTTTTTTTTGCCTTACACATCAAACAGAATATCCCATATGCAGCAGCAATGAGAGCGATCTGCATCTGTTCTGATGTGATGGACGCCAAAGAAGAGCTCCATCCGATCAGAATTCGTCTCTTATTAAACGGATACCCTTCGAAATTTATCGATGCGCACTTCGATCGTTTAATGAGAGATATGAAACTGCCGAGCTTGAACATTCTGTTGAAGGATCAAGAAGGGTACCAACTAACGCGTGCCTTAATTCGCGATCCTTCATTTAAATGTCCAAGCAGAAAAAGGCAGGCTATAGACTCTAAAACAAATATGCTCATCCATTCACATATGTCCCCTCAATCTCCCATTTTGGACCAAAATTCCACCAGATGTGGCAAGAGGCATTTGAAGATACACCACTAAATGGTATCCTTCCTATCTTTGCCAATCGCCTATCCGAGAATTTGACCCAAATGTTAATTCTAAAAACCCTATTCTAAAAAACCAGCTTTTTTAATCCAATCTTTCCGAATCAACATCTGAACTAAGATCCATCGTTCCCTACACAGAAAAAACTACCTCCTAAATCTTGTCATTTTTCTATACTGCTAAAGCATTTCACACTGGACATTATGTACAGCTCACGTTTATTTTATTTTGTATCCATATATATATGTGTATGTATGTCTAATTTTCTGTTATAAATTTCAAAATTTTCTTTCTTTTCCTCTTTCCTTATCCATGTTTCAATTTCAAATTTCAAATTTTCTTTCTTCCTTAGCCAGCGACTTTTTCGCACAATGAGTTCAGCGTCTTTTTTTTCATACTATATAAACTGACCATCTCCACATATTTCTTCACACTACGTATTGAAAAAGATTAATTCGAAACCGGTCTACTTACTTTAGTCTCTTTCCCCTCACTTTGATTAGCCATAGACTAATCAAAGCTTCCTTTTTTGCTTTTTGACTATTGCTTTTTTCTGTACTCTTGTTTTTTGCTTTTTCCTTTCTTTTATTGTTTTTTCATTATTATTATTTTTTGCTTGATTCTCTTGTTTTTTGCTTTTCTCTTTATTGTTTTTGTTTTTGTTTTACTCTTTTGATTTTTGGCATTTCCTGTGCTGACTTTTTCTGTAAATTTTTCTCTGTAAAATAAATAAGTTTCTAAAAAATACTTCTATTCTATCGTCGGCATACCAACAATTACATCATCATCATCCACCCTCACCCAATGAAGAAGAAGGAGGAGAAAGTGATAATGATGATGATGAGAGGCTGAGCCAGACAATGATAAAAGTTTCTCTCGCTGATGAAGATGAAGAAGAAATGGAGGACAGAGAGAATGAGGTTTGTTGTTTGTCACGCCTAATAAACAATGTAGTAGATCCGTACAAAATTTTTCTTGAAATTTAATTTGCGCATCAAATCTTCTATGCGAAAATTTTGCATTTGCCAAATACATTCTTCTATAAAAGGTTCCGAATCGTTTGCATAATTAGTTAGGTTTACTTTTAAAAATTCAATTGTGCAATCATATCAAAACCTTGTATGAAACAACTCATTTTTAGGATGATGAAACATCGAATGATGCAATGGAGGATGATGTCGAAGGCAATGATGAGAAAATGAACCAGATTGAACCATTGCAGTTAGAAACTGAAAATAATGTTAACGATGATGATATAGAAGATAGTTTTATCGAGGGTGTAGTTGAAAATATTCATGATTTATCAGTTGATTATTGTCAACAGACCGTTGAAGATGTGTTGTCCAAGTGTCGCACATTGATCAAAGTAATTAAAAAGGGGGCAATATTAACAGCGTTTGCTGAAGAAAAGTGAAATGAATTAAACAGATCACGCCGGATTAAAATAACTAAATGTTTGTCACTTGATGTAAAAAGTCGTTGGAATCCCACTTATTATATACTAGAAACATTGAATATTTATCATGAGATATTGCATGCTTTATTTTCGTCAAAATATAAGTTTGATATAACAAAAAAACAACGAGAGAAACTAGCTGATTGTGAATTAAATAGCGATTGTTGGGTAACAATTGAAAGTTTACTGGTAATATTAAAACCGTTCGATATGGGAACAAAACTGATTAGTGGATCAACTTAGCCCACGATTGATCTCACATTCTTTTCATTGAGAACAATAGCAGAATTTCTCCAAAATACTGAATCTGACGATCAATTACTTAAAGCATTGAAAGGGTGTTTGTTGTCGAAATTGAAACATTACTTTGTAGATGATAAAGAGCAATTCGAAATATTAAAGGTAAGTAATTACGTTTATTAACTTAATAAAACGTACAGCTTATTCCTTTAGCATAAACAACTGATCGTACAAAAATTGCTTTTGTGTTTCAATAGTTTTAGTTTAGAATACTATAATGGAATATTTTTCCGCTTGTATTCTGGAAAGAAAAAAGCTTAAAACAAAACAGAACACAAAAACATACCAAAAAATAATAACTAGATAACATCGAGTCGATTGCACAACCTCAACCGTTGTACAGAATATAGACATAGAACAGTGGATTTAATTTTGCAGTTTACTGCAAAGTTAAGTTCATGTGTTCGAATCTGTATTCGTACAAAAACTGCTTTTGTGTTTCGATAGTTTTAGTTTAGAATACTATAATGGAATACTTAAAACAACAACTGATTCTAGTTGCTGTGTACACACAAAGCTTATCAACCTAAGATTCATTTGCTCACGAGCCATGCATCAGACTTTTCCTCGAACGGACTACTCCCTGCAAGTACAGTATTGTTCTCTTCTATAGAATTGCTTCCTTCAAATTTACTAAATTCAAATTACTAAATCCACTTTTCATCCTAATCTCTCGCAAGCGCAGAGATAGTTATATATGAGAAAATCATCTCATCAAAATTACAATGCGATCCCATTGTGTTTGATTACAATAAAGAAAGAAGAAAACCTTATTCGAGTGTAAAACTTCGCAACATAAATATGTCCGTTATTAGCAAGATGAAAAATCACTATTTCAGATAGCCAAGGGAGTAAACGATCGAGTATAAACGAACTAGGTTTCGATCTCGAACTTTCGAACTGATCGAACTTGAACGTTCAGGATCGAAACATCCCTAAACAGAACTATTATTGGTCTCTAATAAAGGAAACGTCTACAATAATCAAGCACGAAAGGTGAACATGAGGAAAGAGCGCTTAAAACGGAATAGAGAACACGACATGCCTGAACAATCTGAACTACTAAATGTCATAAGTGTTTCTGTTATTGCCCAACCATTCATATTGAAAGATGGATTATATACTATACTTTGTTTTCAACATATGTTTGTCTCTGATGTTGCTTATTACACTCGCAGTTGATAATGTATATTATTATTACTTTTAATGATCCATAAGGCAAGAGGCCATGTTCATGTGTTTCAGTAAACAACGATAAAGAAAAAGTCTATTTCGACCTCTAAATATTGTTGTGATTTAATGTCAAAGGAACTAACGAAGTTAATACCAGGATGTTATGCACAAGGTGACAGACAAGCGAAGAGATTTATTACCGATAAGTTACCATTATTGATGTCATTAGATGCAAACATGTGGTCTGAAATCATCCGTTTATTTCAAGAACTGAAGCAGTCGGATCATTTTAAAGATAACGTGTCAACACTACTAACATTCGATGGTAGCCGTGTGAAAAGTAAGGAAACTCTCTTTGAAACTTAGGAACGTTTTGAAGAAATGTGGAACAATATTGCAGGATGCTGTACTCAAATTACGTGAGTTTTGAGAGAGTGATATTGACATTGTTGTCACATTCTATAACGTTTGTTGCAAAGGTTAGAGTGATAAATTTTTCGTTGTGGTTTGGTCTGCTCTATTTTCTTCTATGCCTATTAATTTTTTCAGATAAAGGAGAAAAGCACTCGCACACCTAAATAGTAATATTGGTTTAAATTCTAACATATAATAAGATTAGATTGATCGCAATTGATTTTTGCATTAGAACTGATTACATGTATTAGTAATTTACATATCTTTGCTTTCTGATCATTGTTCAATTACCGTTACATAAATGATAATGAGGCTCGGTGAAGTGTTAATATGGCATAGAAACGTCTCTTATTTCCTTAAAATCATAACATTTGTGAACATTCTCAAATAACTGAAAACCTGACATTAGAGAACAACTCAGAGTTAAAAAAATTGGTTGAACGATTAAACTTTTACGAAACACATATTGTGTTTCGTGATATTGTATCTTCCATTCGTGATGTGATAAAAGGAAAAATGAATCTTCCAATACAAGGAAAAGTCAAAATCGAACATAGATCACTATTAGTCCGATCAATACGTTTCGTCATGAGTCCGAATATGTTATTAAAACGTTCACCAAATGACATGAATGATTTCGTTAAACGAATTTCTAGTATGCTTTCGAAAAATGTCGTTATCGGCAATGTTGTTATTTCAAGCTGTGTCAAACCATGGCTAAATGTTTCTAATGATAAGATTTGTCGAAATTATTCTCTATGTCCAGTATCTAATGGCATAACGCCAGATACTAGCGAAGAGAACTATGTGAAACGTATTACAGTTACAGCGTAAAACGCATCTTTAATTGTGTGTCTTCTTTTTCTTATCGGTTTCTCTCTTGTGTATTCATGCAGAGGAAAGAAAAGAGACGAGCGAATATATCCTTTGAGGAAAATCATCTAACAGTATGAAGATTTGTCGAAAGCTTCTTATCTACCTGAATCTTCCAGCAATTAGTTTGTGTCCTAATATCACATTGACTTTTTAATAAACATTCTTTTCAGTTAGAACTTAACTTCTCCACTTTTTATTTCGTTCGGAATATAACATGTGTGTGTTACTGATGAAGAAAGAACAAACAAGACTTTTTACTCTCTCAATACAATATCAAATAAAGTGATTGCTCCTACTGTAAACAGTAGGTAAATAATAAACACATGTATTACGACCATTCTATTTGTTCTCTGCACGTGTTGTTGTTCTATCAGGTTATGAGTCTCGCTGATGTTTAAAGTTTGGTAAATGTGTGAAAGTGACTTTATTAAGTAAGTTTTACTAGTATTCATGATCAGATCTGCGTAATCCCTTATAACCTGCGTTATCAATCTAAGAAGTGATGCTAAATATTAATACCAATACAATCGCTATTTCCTCGTAGGTTTTCAGTATTCGATTATTATATATCGTTTCGTGCCTTGTATCTATCGTTGATGATGCACGTGATTACGATGATGAATTACTTTTCTTCTTTTTTCCTTTCGTCATGTTGTATTGACCACATTGCAATAGCTTTAGATCGAAAGTAGGCATCTGACGTTTATCATAACTAAACTCAGTATTATACTTGATAACGACCGTTTCCGCTCGTCGATGCATGACCTACGCTCTTGCTTATGATTTTTATCCTACTTTTTACCTTTCCTCGTGTCATATTTACGTTTTCTCAGTTACTTTCGATCCAAGACAAAGCATTTGTGTCTGACTATGGACAAACTCATTATTCTTACTGTTGTCTTCTGTCTTGTGATTGCGATTTTTGTCAATGCTAAACTACCACCAGAATGTAGTTTATTGCCTGATACAGGTCCTTGTAAAGCTCATATTGCAAGATTCTTCTTCAATTTCACATCGCATAAATGTGAAAAATTTGTCTATGGTGGCTGTAAAGGTAAGCAATCTAGTAAAATGATACGATCAAAGATACTCGAGGATTTTGTTTTCATTGTAGGAAATGCCAATCGATCCAAGACAAAACGTGCATGTCAGAGGCGTTGTCAAATATATAACGAATAACAACCTCTGTTTTCTTTGACTTGTTGGAAATAATTGTACTAGAACTCATTCCAACAGATTGTTTATTCGTATCATGTATTCACTTTTTTTGTTTCATTGATTTTCTATTTGGATACATACTAATCAACACTTCAATAAACAGCGAATACAAAGAATATTTAGTCGGTTAAGATGTCAGAAATCTAACAGAAAAAGACTTCGTTTATGTCTATTTTGATAGAACTTGTGGAGATCCCTAAAAATGAGCTGGTCTTATACTGAAAATTCCAGAAGAGTCGTGATCTCATTTTCTGTATAATTGATAGTAAAATTCTATGGAAAAATGCTCTCATAGTTGAGATGTTGACTGTCACACACTTTTGCCTAAGAATAAAAGATATAAACATCATTTTTGAAACCAGCATCAAAGACAGTCGGATAACATATGTTTAGTGCAATAGGGTCTGATTTTTACAATTTCACAATTCTATTTTGCGTTTAGTGTAATCCTTTTAATATTTTAATATTGTTAGGTTCCATCTAACTTGTTTTAATCGTGCACACATTGATTCACTGGGGAAACAGCACCCTCCTTCAGTAACGTTGGCGCAAACACTTTTTGGAACTCCTGAATAAATATTGGCCATGAGTCTAATGCTGACACATTTCTGAGGAGCCAACTTCTCGCACCACCATCTACATAGCCTGATATAATCGATACTTTTTGATCATCAGTAAATCCTGCATAATTCAATCCATTTGTAATGTCATTCAGCCACTGAAAAGCGTCTTCGCTTGGTTTATCACTGAATGTGGGTAATGTTTTGAATTAATTTGATAACATACTGTCAATTAGTTTTTTAACCATCTTCTTTGTTCAATTTCAAACCACTTCATCTATCTAATTTGTGATGTTGGAGTGACAGTAAGCCGGCTAGTGCACCAATTGTTAGGTTCCATCTAACTTGTTTTAATCTTCGCTTGTATGTACAAATGGTTTATTGATAAGTCAAAAAAGCACACACTAACACATGAAATACAGTCGTATATATATACGAGAAGAAAGTCGTACCATACAAAGATAAGAATATCGGACCATATAAGAATGTTAGAAACGTGATGACAAACGTGAAGAGGTTTCTTCTATATAACAGTAGTCACGTTTTAGGTCTCATGACCTAACAAATATATTTATATCTCACAAAAGCATAATCTTTTTATGGAAAAATTTAATAAGAGCACAAATAAGTTAGAAATTTATATTTATCCGAACCTTATCCATCACTGTACTTGTGCAATTGTACTATACACTCGAGAAGCGACGGTGGCGATAAGTTCACTAAATGGTAAATCATTCTTATCTCTTCGGTCTCGATAATTAATTTTCATATATTTATTTAAGGCAAATGTCCTGCAGAGTTCTCGTACAATATGCCAGCAGCATATAAAAAAGCAGCGAATAAAAAGTCTTGAATTTAGTCAAAGTTCAAAATGATTTTTATAGCAGGACTGTACTTCTTATTTAAACTTACAAATGTTACTTCTCAATTGTTGTGCGATATCAGATTTGATGTAGCTGATGTTTTCACTTCTATTTCCAAATTAAAAAATAAAAGTTCTGTTGGAATTGACGGTATATCTAAGATGTACATATAGCACAATTCAAGTGGAATTTTGTTTCGAACGTTTTACATACCATTCGATAGAGAATTGAACGCTGATCACGGCAAACACTTTCCCGGCTCCCAAAACCCTTTCCTCGCTGAGCCAGCCTCAAAATACTCTGAAGGTGTCCAAAACCGCAAAAAAAGAGGGGTTCCGAAAAATGGCTCTAGTTTTTTCGCGTTCCATTTTTGTGATTCAAGAGTGGGCTCATTGGATTCAGAATCAAAAGCTGATTCTAGAAAAGCAAGTGTCAAACCTCTAAAACCAAAACTGGATTTTTCCGGAGTCCCGAAACCCGAACCTCGAAAAAATGCCGACCGTTTTTGCAAATTCAAAAACAGTTTCCGGAGAGGTTCAAACTCAGATATTTTGGCATGGGTAGATTCGCCGCGAGCTCTTCAGAAGTATACGTGCAGATCTTTTAATTTGTTTTTCCTCGCCGAGAAATTCGCCTTTTACTGAGAAGTAGGCACAAACGGCTAGGTCCTTTTGCACTAGTTTCGCCAGTTTTGTTCTAAATTCAGTCAAGTTAGAGACAGATAGACTAAAAACCATGGAAAATACGATGGGGACACTCACGAGATCTTTGGAGAGGACTTCTGGAGAGTTTTCGGCGGGTTTTCAGGAGTTTTTAGTGAACTTCGCAACAAGTCAGCAAAGTTTACAACTGTGTTTCAGGAGTCCATTTTTTTCTGGTTTCTAGCCAAACTAACTTCGTTTCTGTTTCAGATTTCTTCTGCAGTCTATTTCTAGCAGCTCCAACACTTTAAGATGGGTCGCAAATCAAAACGTCAACTTCACGCATCTACAACTTCTGCAGCCTTTCTTCCAAGCAAAGATGCTCCGGAAGATTCAGATGAGGAGAATGAAGAAGAGGAGAAGATGGAGATCGAAGCTGCCACCACTGACAAGCCAGAACCGATTGATTTCAAAGACAAGGAAATAATGAATCATATTGCTGATGTCTTTAAATTGTGCAAATCCAAATGTGGAATAAAGAATCTGAGCTGTCTATTGTACATGTCTCTTCGGCTTTTACGACGAACGAACTGGAAACAAGCTGTTGGAACATTTTGCATTCTCCAGAATGCCAAAAAAAAGACAGTGCCTTCCAAAAATTAGGACCATCCCCCTTGGCTATTTAAAATTTACAAAAAATTTAGAAATTTGTCAATTCAATCTGTCCGTAGAGATAGAAACAGGTTATTTCAATCAATAATAAAAACATTTTCATTTAGAAAATGTTTCTGGACACATATAAATAAATGCAGGAATACGGAGTGTGATTTACCAGCCACCCTTAGACATAGCACTACTACTTCAAATGACGTTCAGTCTAAAGCACAACTGTTGTCTGCCAGCTTTGAGAGGAGACCTAATAACACATACCCTTGAAGCTTTTCCGGCTTAGCGGCAGTATGTTACAGTGGACATTAAGTTCTCTTCCAGCATGTCTAAATTTGCTTATATGTATTTTCAAGTGACATGCTGTTGAAGAAAATTCTGCTGTTGCCACAGGGCACCCATAGATTGATCTTCGTGTACCATTATAGCTCAAAAAAATTCTTTAGCAGAAAATGCATGCGAAACTGTTCCGGTTCTCCCTTCCTAAACCCGAACCGCAGGCCTCCCTCCTGTATGATCGTTAAATATCGGTGGCATATTCATGATAATATTATATTACTGGGCATTAGAATTTTTAATATTTTTGTTAGCTACAATCAGTGAACAATTAGTGATAGTCAGGATTACTAGATATTACTACATTTAATTATCATTAGGACAACGTTGGTCTGGTGTATTGTGATCTTAAACATCTTCTTAATTAGTTTATTCGAAGTAATGCCATATGACTTTGAGTTTACTAGAATGATATTAAAACAAGTTGTTCATATAGCCAACAGAAAAACCGCTACAAAGTGTTAAAAGCTTAATTCTTTTCGGAGCCAGTGTCTTCACAAGGACTAACGTAGATCAAAATAACTTTTGAAGAAAGAAAGAGTTTAATTTTTTCAAAGCCTTTCTGAGCAGCAATTGTTTTGTTTTTCTTTTCGCGTTAAACTACCGGTACCTTTTTCATTGGTAGAGTCGTTAAATTCATGCTATGATATAACGAAAACGTCAAAGAGAACCCATTTGCCATAGTGGCTTTTACAGAAGAAATCTACAACAAGGTCAGTATTAATATGCAGAACTGTTTGTCTATCTGTTAATTTGTTTTTTCATCCCACCTTCTAAATGATAAAAATTATGCAAGCAAAAGGAAAAGTGAAAAGTTTGATTTTCGGTCTTACTTTCTTTGTTGTTGGACATATGAAAAAAACAATTTTTGAACCGCACAACGTACAAGGGACCTATATATACCATTAAAATTCCAATAAAATAAATTAGCATTCGCGAAAGTTTCATCAAACCCAAATGCCATTTAATTTCGATCATAGCTCCTCTATTCTTTAACAAAATTTTTCCGCATGTCTCCTAGTTGCTTTCTGATTGGCTCTGAAGAAAGCAATAGCGCCATTAGTTGGACAGTAGTAACCGAACAGAAAATAAGGACATTTATTGAATTCACAGCATTTTTTGAGCTGAAAATATTAAAACTAAATTCAGCATGCTCCAGCGCATAGACTAAGCGCGAAATAGACCAAAAAAGGCGCCTTTTCTGATAATTAAAAATTAGTGCGCATGCACTACAGAAACGGCGCCAAATATGAAAGACAGTGGTTTTCTTAGCCAATTTTCTTTACATAACGATTAATTAAAAATACGCGCTTATCTCAGACGTTCGCCGTAAGAAAATCATGTATAATCGCTCTCTCATTTTGCAATCTTCTTCTCCATCCTAGTGACATCATGTTTTATTCGGACTTTTCTTCAAACACATGATGGAGTCAAGTCTCATTATAACTCGCTCTTTTAAGATGTGCACTTATTCTGAATAACTTATCATCCAAATTATTTTAGTTTTTGTATTATACTTCTGTATAATCACCTTTCTCTGTTTTTAGTTTATTTTTTCACTTTTTTCGTCTTCAACTAGTTTATATTGAAAAAAATAAGGATAAGAAAAAGAAAGAGAATCGCACATTTTAAAAAATTCGCTACTTATTCGATTCACCTCTAATATAAAGGTATCGACTATTAGTCACATTATTCTCATGTGGCAGAACATGTGAGAAGAGAGACAGTACACATTCTTTAGTGAATAACATATAGGTCTCAGTGATTTATTTAGTGGGTGGGCCGAATGGGCGGTGCACAGCCGAAAATAAATAGCTGATTTCGTTTTAGCTAAAATATTTTAGCCAACAGCCCTCCAAAAATTTCAACCGCCTATACGAAAAAAATGTGAATAAAATGGCTGTAGACTTATTTTGAGCTCAAACTCTAAATAAACCTGAAATTACTTGCATCATATTTTCCCGCAGTGAAAACCGCACAAAACATCCTACAATAAGGTCAATAATCTAATTACTGTGACTAACTGCTCAAAGTATCAAGATCGAAAAAGTAGAACTATCAACAACTTCTTCAGAAAAGTGCAGAACAGACGATAAACAATAGAGAACTAACGAAAACGGAGATTCGCACAAAATATATCCTGTGCATACATTGCCGCACATTTGGCGAGTATAGAAGGAAGAGAGAGTAAATACCGGACGTCGCACACAATTGTGCCATGTCTTTCTTCATTGTCTTGTGATTTGCCTGGTCGACGATCGTCGATGATCAGAGGACGAGGACAACCTTGTGAGCCAAATAATCTTTCATCACCCGAACCGCACCGCATCGTGATGGAAAAGACGACCGGCCGGCTAGTGCACCAATGTGATGAGTCTATTTCTTACTCCGAATATTTATTCGCACCAAAGATAGAACAATACAATAAAGTACAATACACTAAACGCTACGAATACAAATGAGAGGAAAATCTTCACTATATATACGCGCGTTCGAGGATTGCGTAGACATACGCAACATAGAAGTTTCAATGAGTTGGGAAACGCACTACGAGAGGAAGAGGAAGAATGAAACAATAGTTGCGCAACGTTGAATTATGTGCAGAGGTTGTGCAATATTGGAATGTTGCGTAATTACGAAACAAGAAAGAAAGGAAGGAAAGAGTTGTTCTTACGACACACTGAGAGAGGTGGGTCGTAACACCTCCCCTACCGCACGAAGATGCTCGTCTCGAGCATCGGAAAATGAACGAAACGTATAGACGACCTATGTACAGGTTGATGTTTGACTGTTTGTCGCCGATATTGATCGTCAAGGCGAAGTACCCAGTTCGAGCCTTGCAGGAAGCTTGCCTACTTCGCCAACGTAAGTTGTCGAGACGAAGTTCCGATTCGAATGTTCAAGCTGCCACTACTTGAAATCCGGTCCTTGATTGAAGATGACTTGCCGTAGTATCGCCAACCGAAGTTGTCGGGGCGAAGTCAGGTTTGAGCCTTCGTCGTTGCCACACCGATGAGACCGTTGTCTGAGATGATTGAATATATTGTCGGTAACCACCTAGACCGGGCGTACGACAACCGGTTGTAAGTGGTTGATGTGTACTTGATCGGTATTGCCCGTAGTTTGATCTTGGACCAGATATGTCTGTTTGCCAAGGAGTTTGATAATTACCATTGGCCCATTTCGTCTGTTGTCCA